GCATGCACACCGTGACCATTGCGCCAGCATCGCAGCCCCTGGCCGCAGTGGCGTACCGTGACTCGCTTCGACGTCGACCCTGCATTACTGTGTCACCTAGGCCGGCCTGTTCAGGCTCTCCTTGTTACAGCCAGGTATGCATGCCTCGACAGCTGCCCCCGCCTCAACTTCGAACTTTCGACAACTTCAAGGATGATAGTGCCAGTACCTTCAAAATGCTCCCGCGCGTTGTCAGTCTAGATCTACGGATACATTCCCTAATCACCTTCGAACAGTCAGTAGCATAGGTGTGGCGCTGGTCCCTCCGTTGCTCCCCCAAAATGAAACAGGTTCCAGAACTTCTGGTTCGTCCGGGTTTGTGCACTCCACCGGGTGTACCGCACCGCTGCTTTGGCCTTTACGTAGAATCGCCATCCCAGTCAACAGGACCCCCTCTACGAGCATTTGTAGCAAATGCGCCTGCATTCGTGAAAAAAATACGCGTCTGGTACGGGCGAGACTGCGCCGCATCTCCCGACGACTCCCTGTTCGAACCATAGACGCACCTTTTCTTCGCCTTTCTTCCCGCCCAGCAGCCTTCTACGCACCAATGACCTCCCCAAATTTGCCCCCGTTTGCCACCCTCCCTTCAAACGTGCACTAGCCCAAAACGCGTAACGGCCATCCCCAATAGGGGCCCAATGCACCATCGCGACATCTCGCACATCCATGTTGGCATAGTACCGGCCGCGGTACCAAGACCTCGTCGCATTCAGTACTTCGCAGCAGCCAAGCGACCTAGCTCCAAGTCGATGGATCCCGTCCACAGCCTAGTAGCTACGCTATTACCATAACCGTCCAAACGTGCAGTCGCCCATTCATTCACTGTCGGCCTAGCCATGATCATAGTCCGAAGTACCCGGTGAATAGACTGCGCGTGCACGGGCTCGGACCACTGCGCTTGACTTGCGCGCAGCTGTGTCGCACGAATGACCATTGCGCCAGTGCGCCCACTCGAGTCAGGGCCAGGAACCGAGAACCAAGAATCAAGGACGAGAGCAACGGCAGCACACATCGCGGAAGGCGAATCACGAGCGCGTGACCAGCGGGTGCGACGTCCAGAACGCATTCCCCCCTGACTTTGCCTCCGTGCGCCGTGGACCTGTTCTCCGTCATCTACGCGCACTACCGTTTCCGTAACACCCGAAGCCTTCTCAAAGTAGCAAAACACGACCGTTCTCACTGCGCAAACGGGTTCGAAAAATGTTTTGCATACCGCATAAGGTGCTACAAGGAAGGGAGGGTACCCGGTACAACATGTCGCCGACGGCGCATTATGCCACATAAAAAAGGGTACAACCACAACTAACTACCGGCAAGGCAGAAAGTGTTCGTGAAGGAAAAATACAACACCGACGGTCTGGGAGGTGAACATTATCCCAAAGGACCACCAGGCTGCGGGGGTGAAGGTAAAAGACAGAATATAGGTAGGAAACGTCTAGGCGAAATGTTCATGTCTAGGTGGAAAACCAATAGAAGTATAGAATAGGGTAAGAGATAAATATGAATCAAGCGGACCGCATCTAGAGAACGGGCAGGCAAAGCTCGCCATCGGCTGAAGGAATGAAGCCGCGCTGGCAGGCGTTGACCTGGCAGCGGCCCGATACGCAAGAAACGCTCTTCACACCATCGATAGACGTGCAGTCGTGACTACAATCAAAACGAGTCAGAATCAATGTGAAACTGTCACGATGAAGCGGAAACGTACGATGCATCGACGACAGCGCAGCCACCACAGCTCTCGAGATCGGTGCGGAAGTCAACGCACTCAAAACCGTGGGTGATGAGCATGTTGACGTCGCGTGAAATGGCGTCTGACGAGATGGGGCAGGCAGAGAGGGTGGCGGGGCAGAGCTGGGACGAGACCATGTCGATAGGGTTCTGCTCGGGCATGTCACGCTTGGCGCGGCGCGAAGGAGCGGGGGCGGGCTAAATAATCTGTAAGGGATTGCTACGAACGTACATATGCAGAACTCACTTCAGGCGCGCGCTTGGAGGGTGCGGGTGCACGCTCAGTCACCTCAGCACGCTTAGATGGCTGGGGAGCACGCTTCGAAGGCTGGGGCTCGGGAGCACGCTTGGACGGGTGAGGCTCGGGAGCACGCTTCGAGGGGTGAGGCTCGGGAGCGCGCTTGGAAGGGACAGGAGCACGCTTGGAAGGGTGGGGCTCAGGCGCACGCTTAGAAGGGACGGGGGCGCGCTTCGAAGGGACGGGGGCGCGCTTGGACGGTTGAGGGGCGCGCTTGGAGGGCTGAGGAGCGCGCTTGGAGGGCTGAGGGGCACGCTTGGATGGAACCGGGGCGCGTTTCGAAGGCTACGGCGGTATCAATTAGTTTCGGAGAGGATCAGCACAGCGAGTGACACTGACCTGCGGCGCACGCTTGGAGGGTGCAGGGGCGCGAGCCTGAAGGCCCTGGACCCCGTCCGCAGACGGGACGGCACCGACGAAGGTGCAGAGGGCAGCGACGACGGCAAGGCAGGCGGTAGCGCGCATGTTGATAAGTTGAGCTTGGCGTTGGCGGTGCGGCGGGCGGGAGATAAACCAAGCGGCGGGTGGCGGCGGCGGGCGACTCGACGGGGGAGGACGACGAGGCGGGCGGGGGTTATGTAGACGGGGGGTGTCGGATAGGAGAGCGCAAAGGAGGGTGACTTAGGCTGTGGGATTAAAAAGAGTGAATAGGGCGGGGTGATGGTGAAACGAGCGAGGGTCGCGGATGGCGGACGCTGGAGACCGGCTCTGTCTTATCTGCCTCCTTCCTCCCGAACCACCACTCTCGCCAGCCCGCCGGGCTCTCCTCCCGCCCTGCTTCCGTCTTCCGCACCGATCCCTCGCGCTGTCTGACCCTCCCTCTCTCTTCTCTATCCCTCCCCCGCCGTCTCTGCATCTCCCGCCGCCCACCCAGGTGCTGTACACCGCCACCTTCATCGCACCGAGTGCACTATCGCGGGCGCTATGTCATCGCGCGGATACCGCGAAATTTTCGAGGCAAGACAACGGTGGCGCGTCGGGATTGGCTTCTACCTTATCTGGGCTTCCGCTATCGAGATCCCGATCACGCTCCTTCGACCGGGACTTGTCCATTGCATGCATCTCGTACTCCCTGCCCAAACGCCTCGAGGATACGACTCTGTGCTGTAAAATGTATCAATACCGATATCGATTTTCATTAGCCTCTACATTGTTTGAAAGGAGTGTAGCAGAGACTCCGGGACTCAAACCTATTTTTGTCTCGCCGGCCGCCCGCGCGATTATCGGCCAGGCTCGCGCTATGATATGGCCGGCGGGCTCAGCATCGCAAGTGCGCGGCTCGGCCCATCACTGCATCAACACCGTCGAACCCTGCAAAATGACGCAAGGTGTCGCGCCCAGCCTGTCGGGTTGACAGCGTTGATCTAATAGCACTGTTCAAGCGCTAATTTACGCTGCGAAGCACAGTTGCAGCTGCATTCCACGCCTATATGTACACCGTACACCAGTCCAACAGAAATGCACGGTTCTGGCGCTCGAGACCGTCATAGTCGCACACCTCCGAAACATCTATATGAGGGGAAATCAGGACAGGAAATTGGCAAGTCAATCACTTGTTACGACTTTGGCTTGATGACGGACGTATTCCTGCGCTTCCTTTCTACGAGCAGATAACTCACTGCCAAGCATCACAGTCCGATCAGCAAGCACATCAATGACGGGCGACAAGGCATACGCACTAATAAGTCGGTCCATCGCGTCGGTAGCCTCTGGCTTAATTTCAAGGAAGGCGTGGCGCGACATGCGAAAGACGAAGAAGTGCCGGCGGTGCGTGTGGAACTTTGCAAGCGGGGACTTGTCGTCGTCGTCTGCACGGATGAGCTGAGGATCTTGGTGAGTATTGTGCAGACACGTATCCTAGCAGGAATCCAACCTGCAGCCGTCGATGATGGCTTTTCCAACGATATTCAACACCCTCGCCGCCTGTGAACGTCCCGCCGCTGGCACTCATCAGCCTTCGCTCGAATTCACCGCACGCAGAGACTCTGTACTCACCGCTTCTGTTCATCCCAGCGCAAAAACTCTTCCTCGCTCATCCACGCACCATGCTCGCCGCCAAAGCGTACGCGCGCCTCCTCGCCCTTCCCCGACGGACGCTCGATCTCCGCGATGAGCGACATCTCGCGCGCCTCCTTGTCGAGCTTGAATATCTTCGTCAGCTTCGGATGCCAGAAGCGCGTCACGACTTCATAGTACAGCGCATCGTCGTCAACCGAGATCGTGGTATTGCGCAGGCTGTTCGTCGTGAACACCATGCGATGCGTCGGCTCGGGCTTCTTCGGTGGCGGCATTGCTACTGTGATGCGGCTGCTCTAGAGATCTGGAACGGTGCAGGTACGCTAAACCTTGGTGCGGGGAGGCAGATGGGATCCGACCGAGGGAGGGGTATCCACTCCCGCTATGAAGGCCAGCGGTGACGAAAGGCTCACCTCTTACACGTACACGTAGATATAAGCCCTACCCCGTCTGCCTCCGCAAGGGACATATCGCATGTCGACAGGCCCTGGCAAAACCAGCACGAGAGCGGAAACCTCGGCGGAGGGGAGGCACAGTTCTCCCAGGGTACGACCGGGCCCGTTGGTGCTCCCGGAGGCGTGGGGGCTACAAGTCTGTCGTATGCGCAGACATGGGAACCGTACGAGAGGATCACAGGAGCGAGGGTGTGAGCAGGATGTGCGTGATGTGTGGTCGTGGGAGGACATCTGGCGACAAGGAACAGCGGATGGAGAGAAATGCAGAGCACCGGGGGCGCGGAAGACGCGTAACGCACGGTATGTCAAGCAGCCGAAAACCCTCTTTCGATTGGAAGATACACAGCGCGTTCCTTATGAAAAGTTCGAATTCAAGCCTACTTCTCACAATCCGAGCCTGGTGTCGAGCCTTCTGTCCCCTTTTTCCATGTCGTATTCACGTTTTTAAACTCATTCAAACAACACTGATGGTGAAGCGGTTATCATGCTTGCCTTCCACGGATACTTCATAATCCTGAGAGCAAGCGGCAGGGGTTCGACTCCCCTTCAGTGTATCTATCTAAAAGCAACAGGCTTCGAAGTTGTTTTCTTTTTTCCCTCTTTCCCTCCAGAAATCTCATACGGATGCCGTTGACTCGCGTTACACATTTGTCTCGGCGAGTACACTAAGTATCACACCGTTCTTTCTCGCCTCGATGCATCGTAACTGAAGTAGCGAGAAAAAGCGCAGAGCAGAGTGGTGATTGATTCAGACCTCCCATGCCTGGCCACTCAAAACCAAAGCTTGCAGATAATTGAAGACTCGCACGCATACACACAAAATCGGAGGCGAGGCACATATCTGTAGCCATACCGATGACGATAACAAGGGAGTTATGGTAACGGTGGTAGAAGCCGTAGCTGGGAGGAAATGACACTGCCGGAAACACGACGAGGAAGGCGGGGAGCGCGTAGTGCATGCGATTCATTGGGGTGAGATTCGATGATGAGTTTTCATGATCAACAGGACGTGTGCCCGAGCTGGAACCCCCGCAGCATAGGTCACGCCATTCGGAAGGGTTGAAGTCCCGCTGACTCCCCTTCCTGTTCATCGCGTTCTTGAACCCATCGAAGCGCCTCGCTCAACCAGTCGACCGGCGTTAGAACAGGCACAATCAGGCACGGATGGTCACTGGCTGTTGCACTTCAAGCTTCGGGTTTCAAAACCTCGGACATAGATGGATGCTGTCTCAACCCAATGATGCATTCGTCTCCGTCCTAGCGGAGGCAACAACAGATGGAGAGTGGATGCACAGTCGACCTACTTCACTGTACCCGATCCTTTGCAGACGGCCACCCCAACCCAAGGTATCTTTCACAGAAAGATTCACCCCACTTCTGTCGAAAAATGACCACATCATTAGAGACCGACAACCAAACGATCTGAGTAGACTGGCTCGCCTTCAAAAACCGATGAACTCGGCGAGACCCTCGCTCTGATGCTCGTGGATTTGCGAGGGGATGCTGAGTCCAGGGCCAGTGGGACTAGCGACGTTAACGGCCGAAACAGGCGATGCTCTTGGAGTACCAAAACGAACTGCGGTCAGCGTGCCATCTATCTATTTTAGAAACAAGGACCGACTCAGGCGCGCTGCTGTTCACAGCCGGCACAACTTGCCCGGGAATACCATTGGTGATGACGCTGAGGTCCGTCGAACCCAGGGGGTTGGGGACGGGGAGGGCGCGGATGCTCAAGAACGTCGAACTCAGAACGACGACGGGGTAAGTGAAATGCATGGCGGAAAGAACGATAGTGAATAATGCAACAAGTCAATGTCTGGAAATAGGTATCGTCAGTCGCAGGACATGGTTTGAGAGAGGGAATGACGAACGCAAAAGAGTGCAAAACGCCAATGAGACGTGAATGGTCGACGAGGGCGAGAAAGGGAGCGCAGCTGGAGAACAGGAGATGGGAGACGTTGCGTTTATAAGTAAACGCCGATCGGCACGAGCCTGATACTTTCCGGGATCAATCAGGCCTTTATTGCAAGGTGTCATCGAGGCACTCCGGATCACCAGGCCCTGTAAGATGTCCAAATGCGCTGGCCGAGACTTGTGGTTTGTAGCCCCTGCAAACGAAAGAATATATCATTTGCGGTGATACAGCCCGCTGCAGTGTCGTCGTCATCGCATCGTGCAGGTTAGTTTTCTCACCATCTTATTGTCTCGAAATTCATGTACCTTTTTTTAGGACGGCCTGTTGAAATTTGAGCTCTGAGCGCTGCGAGGGGATGAGTTCGGTGAGCGTGGAAGAAGCCGACAAACCGACATAGCAGACAGCAATGAGTTGGCCCACTGTGCGATACGCCTTGGGTCAAAATTTACATCCACAGAACGATGCGATCTTGTCCATTAGTCAAAGCGTCTGACTGCTGGAAGGAAACACAAATGTTGTGCCTCCTTGAGAGGCCGATGTAAGAAGAGTTCTGCAAAGTTAGACGCCCGTGCCTCCATTCAAGTTTGCTCACGTGTACACAAACGCGTTCGCGTTCAACCAACCCGGCGCTCCTGCACCGTGACGCTTCCCCTCTTTCTCTGCCCCGCCGAACCTCAGGCGCTCTTGGATGTGGCGATGGATTACGATGAGTACGCCGCGTACGACCTGTCCGAGTTCACGTTCACTAGCGCGGACCTTGCCGCGCTCGACGCGCAGGAGGCTGCAGGTGGCCCGGCTGTTCCTATAGAACTTGAGCGTGCGACTGATAGTGTCAAGGTTCCTCTGAAGGCAGGTACGAGTACGGACACTGCGCTGACGAATGGGAAAGGGGGTGAAGGGGGTAATGAGGAGGGCAATGACAAGGGCAAGGGCAAGGCAAGAGCAGACAGGAGCCCGTTTCAGCAGTATCGGCAGTGGAGAATGTCTTTCAGCGTGTCGGACCTCGTGTCGCCTGCTTGGTGAGTTTTGTGTCTGTGCAAGGAGGCGGACAAATAGCCGGACGGCGTTGACTGGGAATGAAAGGTGTGAGGTGCAGTTCGACTACGGCTTACGCCAAGGCCGCTCGCGCAAGCTCGCAGATCGGCCGGCTTCTTTCACCTCTGCGAAGGGCAAGGTCATCAATGTGGCGCATCAAGTCGCAGAAATGAACGACAAAACGCAGAAACGTGGCACCGTGCGTACCTTCTTTTCTGCGTGAACTGTGGTTTCACGCGGCCGAGGCATAGTCAATCCATAAGAAGCTGGAGAAGGAGCTTCGGCCGGTTGAAATCAAGGTTACGACAGCTACGAAGGAAGAAAAATGGGCGTTGCGGTACGTGCTGCCTGTGTCAGATTATTCGATGTCCTGTGACCGAGACGGATGGGTCTTATAGGATAGTGCAGATGCTCGCATGTCTGGACGATCTTCGAGATCACGGGAAATGCGTGAGTTCTGTTTAAGTGCTCTGAAACGCCATACTTATATCAATATAGCGCGAAATGCCGGTCTTCGGTATTTTACACGATGCAGTCATAATTGGCATCATAGTAAGTGGACAAATTCATGTTGAAGCAACGATGCAAGTGTAATGATGCGCTTGCAGGACGAAATCTCCTTCAATCTACATACTGAATCGCATTCGCCGACCAATTACAGCCCCTCTAATAAACGCACGACCACATCCACGCATGACACGCCAAAGAAGAAAAGGCCACGGCGTTCCCGCTCTCCAACTCAATCGTCAATAATGCCATTCCTTTCCCCCTCCGCTCTCCATCGCATTCGCACGCCCTCCCCACCCCCACACCTACCTTCAAATCCTCGTACAGTATACATCTCCGACACCAAAACACGTCGCACGCCTGATCTGCCGCCCGATGACGACACGCTCCCTGCACGCCTCCAGCTCATGTTCTACCATGCACTGCTCTCCGACATCCTCTCTCCCACATTCCCATTCGCCAAGCTCTGGGCACGTTTCGAGCTCGACCCATATGCGCCACTTAGTGATGCCTTCCTCGCGCAGACAGGACTTATCCCGGACGCCGGGGAAACATCAGATCCGGACAAGGTACGGGTACAATACCCATGCTGTCTGGACGAGCTAGAGGACGTGTGGAGGGCTGCGGTCCAGGCAGCCGGTATCACAGGAATAGGAGAGGACTTGACGATTGTCTATCGCAGTCAGCGGCAGCCGCAATCGCCAAAGGAGAAGGCAGCGCGGACGTTGGGTGAGATCCTCACTGAATTGGCGGGCGTGGAAGGGGCCATGGACTTGGCTTTGCAGCAGGCAATTTCCAACAGTCTATTAGACGCGGTACAGAAGCAGACTCGGGCTTCTGCAGCTGCGGCACGGGGTACACACTTGGACTCGGAGTTCAAGCAGTCTACTTTCCAGCTGGAAACGGTGGAGGAGAGCCCGGGCAAGGCGGAGGATCAGACGCGAGTCAAAGTCGAGTGCTCGGTCATCGCAGAGGTACAGGAAGGCGCCGATCCAGGTTCGTGCAAGAATTCCCAAACCCATTTCTCGAACCTTCATTCCGTCACGGTACGGATGCTGATCATGCATACGTAGATACAACTGTAACGCCGCCTGTCGCGGACAGGCCCTCGCCCGCGCCTGCGTTGGATGCAATCCCAGAAGTTTCACCCTCCCCGGGGTCTGACATTCTTGGGACAAAGGTTTTCCAAATGGACGTTTCAGTTATGGAGACATATTTGACGAGTGTGTTGGAGTGGTGGTACGGGCGACGCGCGCCAATCGGTGTGGATGTGCACCATGCGAGACGGTGCCGGTGCGTGAACGTTTCACGCAGTGTGACTTGTCTAGTTCGCGGATGCTGATTTTGGTTCTTTTTTCAGGACATGTGAGTATAGGGAAGATTGTGAGTGGAGAGAGAGCAAGGCGGCGGAAGCGGCGATAGAGTATAGGAAGAAGAATGGGAGATCGCCCTGCGAGCCATTAATGTAATAGTGCAGGATTTTTGATTCCGTTCCGGCCTGTACTCTTGATCTGTACCACTGCCATCTTCTAGGTCATACATGTTGTCATACTGCTGTTCAGACACGCTATCTTATTGTAATTTCTTGCTTGACATTTTATGAAGTCCTGACTGGCAGCTGAATGCAAGGACTATAATTATAGAACACGCGTTACGGCATATCAACCACACTGCGCGTCGCGACGAGGGCTCTTCCTGCGCTCAACGTCACGGTACTCCAACCATTTAATGTAAACACTCCTTACTTTCTTTCCTTTGTATCCTCACTTCCACAACCGCGACCCTCACAATGCTTATGGAAGGCTGGGAAGACCGCCTCCACATCTCTTTCCTCGGCGAGCACGTCCTCTTCACAGGCCTCCGCCTCGAGTCCTTCGGCTCATTTCTCGCCGCGGCGCTCCTCACCATTGGTATCTGTTTCACCGAGCGGTAACGCATCCTACTTTCCCTCAGACACTAGCGCCTTCATGATCGTCCATGCAGACTGCTGACACTCGCGCTCACGCGGCGATGGGCACCGTTCCGCTCCTTGCACCGCTCGCGGCTGCGGAGTGCACTATGGAGGACGGCGCTCTACTGGGTCGTGACGTTCTTGCG